TCTTTTAAACTTGTTGTGTTGAAGATCTTTTAAACTTGTTGTGTTGAAGTTCTTTTGAACTTGTTGTGTTGAAGTTCTTGTGAGTTTGTTCGGTGGTTCATGTCCGGACATCTGGGATTGTTCATCCTTCTTCCCGGACGAGAAGCGTCACTTCTGCACAGGGACAGGGAGGCGGGCCAAATGGGCGTGGTTTGGCTGAAAGTGTGCGTTTGTTGGAACGCCCCTTCCCCCGAAACGCCCCGCCCCGCCCCGCCCCCCCGCAGCTGCTCCTCTGTGTGTCGTCACTATTGCAACATCGCCCCGCCCCCTCGCTGCTGCGGGTTCTTGACGTTCGGAACCAGTTCGTGGATTTCAGTCGCAAACATGTCTCAGACCAACACGTGCCTCCGGCGGACCTTCACCGTCTTCAACATCTTCTTCGCGGTGAGTTTTTTTTACTGTTTCTGCTAAACACGTGGAAACATGTGGACTCAGCTGCGGAGGTCTTGAATAAGTTAGAGAAAGTAAGAAGTCATGTTTAACTCCTCGTGAAGTGATCTGAAGTGAAAAGCTGAGTCATTGTTGTGTTGGTTTGTGAGACTCTAAAATGTGCGTCGTCATCTGATGAGCTGATTCTAATGTTTTTATCGTGACCAGTAAAACTCCAGAGGTCTGTCAGAGTAACTCTACAAGTGCTGCCTCACTCCTGACCTTCAATACTTCAATACTTAAATACTTAAATACTTTAATACTTTAATACTTCAATACTTTAATACTTTAATAACTGATCAGTCTCCAGTGACGATGTCTTTGTTTCTGCTGTTAATCGATACATCGGTTGTCAACGTTAAAGTTTATAAAGTTGTGCAAAAGAAAAAAGTCCAAGGTGATGTCATCAAATGTTTATCCAAGAGTCCAACTTAGTTTAGCAGCCATTTTGTTCCACAGGGAGTTTTAGGTTCAGACTCACTCGTGATGAGTCACTGAACAATTCAACAACTTCTCTCTGGAGGACAGAGTCAGTTCATGTGTTTATATCTGTAACTTCCAGCTAACATGGAGGAGGGGATGGCATCTTCATGTTCAGTCTTTGAAATAAATAAATACTTGTAATAATCTCGGGCATGAAGACATTTTCGTATCATTGGTTTGATAAAACTAGGCTTAGAGACATTTTTACAGGGAACTGATGTTTTAGATGCAGATTTATCAAGAATTAAACTTGTGGTCAGTTGAATAGAAGGTGTGGCCTGAGTTCTTGTTCTGCAGGAGCTCAGAGTGAACTGAGTCAAACTGTCTGTGTTTTGTTTCAGATCTTCGGAGCCATCATCGTCTTGCTCCCTCTGCTCTCTCAGATCCTCACCAGTATCAATGGAAGAGACGTAAGAACAAACTCTTTGTTTCCAATAGCAAAACAGCTCCGGGTCTAAAAAAAAGGCAAATGTGAACCTGTTGTTCTTCTGTTCCGCCTCCAGCTGGAGGGTCACACCAACGGCTACATCCTCCTCTACATCGTGGGAGGCGTCACCCTGATAATCGCCTTCCTGGGAGCGTATGGCGCCCACAAGGAGAACAAAGCGTGCCTGATCATAGTGAGTGTGGAGAGCAGCAAATATCTTCAACATAGAGAAGTGAAATGAGTCAAAACACTATTTTCACGAAAAACATAGGGAAAAAATCCTTGTTCTGTCTTTGTTCATCTGAAACAGGATGTGATGACAACAGGAAATGAATGTGTGCTCTTATCTTACATCCTGTTCGTTGAGCTATTTATATCCTAAACTTTTAATTTCCTCTCAAACAAAGACGGGGATATTTTTTAATTCTCACTTGTTAGTTTTAATTTTATATTACAAATACATCTCTGTGTGTGTGTGTGTGTGTGTGTGTGTGTGTGTGTGTGTGNGTGTGTGTGTGTGTGTGTGTGTGTGTGTGTGTGTAGTTCCTGGTGTGTATGGTGATTGGAAGTCTGATGATGCTGGGAGTTGGAGTCGTCGCTGCCTTCGCCCGACCTCAGGTAACCCCCCCGACTGTTGATTCTACCGATGGTTCTATGTGACTGACTCTGAGTCTGTTTCTATGAATTAGCTGAACTATTATTGTGTTTCTGCCCTTCAGAATAAAAGCGTGTGTTGCACTGGTATGAACTGTGAGTTTTGTAGTTGACAGGTATCCTGACGGATCAGTTCCGCTCCATGCTGCCGCTCGACAAATCTACAGAGGAGGTGAAGAACGTGGCTGAGACCCTGCAGACGCATGTGAGACACACACACACACACACACACACACACACACACACAGAGACAATTTTTGGACTTTAACGTTCCCAAACGCTTTAAACTTTGCAAGTTCAGAACTTAGATCAGATCTCAACCTGCTCTTTTGTTTCGTCTCTACATTGTTGACTCCCTGATGTCGTTGAACCTGTTTTCACTCCCAGAATTCCTCACAGGGCAGTGGGGTGTGCCCCGAGCCTTCCGATTGGCTACCTGGGGGGGGGGKGGGGGGAAGAAAAATAATATTTTACCTCTCGGCTCCGTGCTGTCTGCAGGTCGATGTCACTTCCTGGTTTTATAGAGGAATGTGACTCACTCACGTCCACATTTATTCTCTGAAAAACAAATGAGGTGATAAAAACCATTAACTGCCGAACGTAGAAAGAATGAAATGGTTTGTCGTCACACTGGGAGTGTTTAAAACTTAAGTTCCTCAAATTTATTCCTAAAATATGCAAGAGGAACAATTTCTGCTTTTTAGTTTCCATTGTTTCCTCATCCATCGACTCAAGACGACAAAAAAGTCAAAGGAAAGAAGAATCTTTAGTTTGAAGTTCAACATATTTATATAAAAGTTGGTTAAACTCTTTTTGCACATTGTTAACGCTGATCTCTAACCGTCCTGTTCTTCTTCTGCTGTGTTCAGCTGCACTGCTGCGGCATGTTCAGCTACAAAGACTGGGAGAACAACATCCCTGCTTCATGTGAGTGCAGCGAGGAAGAGGAGGAGGGCGAGTGTCAGAGCATCAGCTACATTGTGAGTATAACGAAACACCTCATCTTCCTCAGTCGTGTTTTTTACACATGTTTCTAACGTTTGTATTTGTTCCCTGCAGAGCATCTTTCACCGGATGACCGAGCCGAACAAAACCATCTACAGCAAGGTCAGTGAACATGTTCATACAAACGTGTTTCCATATAAACAGAACAGCTGAAATGAGTCCGCTTGATTTACGAACCGTAAATGTGACGTTTTCTTCCTCCTCTCGTCTTCAGCCCTGCTTTCCCATCATCATGAACTTCGTCCTTGTAATCGCTGACATCATGATTGGCATCATCTTCACCATGGCTGCGTTGGCGGTAGGAATCTCTGCTCAGCTTGTGATGTTTAACGTTAACTTAACCTGTGTTCAAAGATAAAACTTGGACATTCAACTCACTGTGTTTTTCCTCCAGCTGCTCGGCATGATCCTGTCGTCCATCATGATCCACCATTTGAGATACCCCAACAAACCCACTGTCCTGATGGTCCCCAGCATCTTCACCACGGCATCGCCAAAATACCAGGAGCTGCAGAATGCTCCATACTACTAGAGCGGCGCTGCCCTCTGCTGTCAGCTCGTTGTCTGAAAGTCTGAGGAGCTCGACTGTTTTTCTATTCATCACAAGAAGTTTGAGTCTGGTTCAAAAGTTCAAGGAGAAATTTTCAAGCTTTTAAAATCAAAAGAAAGTTGAGAAAGTACTTTATTCTGAAATGGAATCATTAACACCTCTGAGGATTTGAGTTGAGAAGTTTTTAGTTTGAAGTGAGAAGCTTGAATTAAAAAAAAAAAGTTTTTAGTGATCATGTAGAAAAACAAGAACAGATTCTTCTCTAAAATCCTGCAGGTTTTTTTTGCATCTTTACACAAACAACTCTTACACTGAAAACTAAACATTCTTTAAACCACTGTTTGCTTATACATTTCTTTTAGTTCAGCAAAAGCAAGAAAAGCAGATGTCTGTTAAAAGCCACAACACAAATGCTATTAACTCTGATTTAGAAATAAATTGTAGTTTGTTGTTCAAAGAATTATTTTTCTTTTTAACCCCGAAAGGTTTCGAAATCTTGGTTTATTTCTATTTTTGATATTCAACACTTTTTATTGAACGTGACTGGGTCTGTTCTTTGTGTTACTGTCGTCATCTGAATAAAAAATATCCTTTATAATCCACAACTTCCAGTTTATCAGTGTAAAGTGTCATGAAAGGGAAAAGGTTGAAGTTAAGTATCTTGAAAGTCACTTCACAGGTTTCATTTTTCTTTTCCTTATTTAATCTGGTTCATGATGGTAAAAATATTCTAAATAAAACGTAGACGGGAAACTGTGTGTGTCTGTGTGTGTCTGTGTGTGTGTCTGTGTGGACTGACTCCAAACACAAACCCTGCTGCAGTAAATCAACACTTTACTTTAATGAACAATAATCTATAGAAATATAAATGTATTGAAGGAACTTCTGTAAAATTTTAACGATTTGTTATAAAAACATGTTGATTCAATGATAAAACTCTGACTCCTGATTGGTCAGGAGGGTGTAGGGGCGGTACCTCGGTCACATGGTGAATCATGTCGGCTCGTATCCAAGATATTTTGGCTTCGTATCTGGATCTGGACGGTAGAAGAAGAAGACGTCCGTCATTGATCCAAACTATAAAATAAAACTATTCAAAGTGAAGTCATGAAAGATTACAAAACATTTTTCCATCATTGCTCAGACTGGAGGACAAAGACTCTGGTGGACATGTGGACATGTGTCTCTGAAGCTCAAACATCATAAACTGACTTTTCAGTGTCAGAATAAAGCTGACTGCAGTAGCTTGTCCACCAGCACCCTCTAGTGGATAAACTACATATCAGCAGAACTGACCTAGAAGAGAATGTTTTGCTTCAGACACTTCCTGTCACTCATCAGACATCACAGACACTTCCTGTCACTCATCAGACATCACAGACACTTCCTGTCACAGACACTATGTTTTATAGCAGATATGCTGATTCAGCTGAGACTCTTCAGGTGAAACCTTTAAATTAATTTCACCACGTCTGTGTGATATTCATCGTTAGCAGACAAGAACTAACGACTTCGCATCACCGTGATGGAGAGAACTCAGATAATTACGTTTTATTTTCAAGTGTCAGATTCCCGAGTTAATTATCTTAAGAAGATAAAGAAAATACCAGAACTTTAGGGCTCCGTAGATTTCACATATGAACTCCAGGAAATAGTCTCAGGACTTTCTCTGTAGTCAGAGTCTGTGAATCAGCGTCGACTCGTCCACGACAGGAACATGTGGGGAACGAGGGGCGGAGCCTGTAGAGCAGCAGGAGGCGGGACATGACGTCTAAACTCTGCTGTGTAAAGATCAGTGTTGTTGTTTACAGCTCGTCCACACGGCGTCGGCCCTCATCACCAAAACATCTGGAACCATCTCGTCTTTCCAAGTGGACGTCATCGTCTTCTACGTGTACGGCTCCTCTTCTTCGTCCTGAGATATAAACGTCTCCGTAAATCACAAAACACTGTCAACAGGTTTTAGACAAAACCAATGCTCACGTTTTTAAAATGCGTAAAAATCTTCTGTGACTCCCATCGTGAACAAACTCAGTGAATCGTGCAAAATGAAAGAACGACAACGTGTGCGACACCTCCATGCGTTGTGTAAATCGTTATAATTGTTCTATTATCTTTACAAAACACTTTTGACACTAGCAGTTTAAAAAAATTACATTTCCAAAAAGTGTGCTGATTTTTTTTTCCTTTTCAACCACATTTGTTTCTGTTGTTTCTCCATTATTCCGTAACGACCAGGACAGAACATCGTTTGCTTTTCTTCTATGTGCATCGATTTCTCCCCAAAGGCAACAAAACGTCCGGTACGTTGTTATTTGTGTGTTTTCTTCAGTAAGCAGATTAATGGAGCGACAGGTCTGCAGGAAAAACAACAGGAAACGTACACAGCAGAGAGAAGAGCGAGAAGGATTCATGTACAGATTTTCCATCACTGCCACGTGACTTTAACTTATTAAATAACCGCTGCTCACTTTTTTATTTATTCACCAAGTTTTTTTAAAAGTCAAAAACAAACAAAAAGCCTTTTACAGAAATCAAACATGCACAGCTTCATTTCTCTGTCCGGCAGCGACAGTGTTGGTGTGTTACTGTTGTTACTGTTGTTACTGTAGCTGTAGAGAAGTGTGTGTTTGTTTTAAAATCATCGACTCAACATGTGGGTAAAGACGGAGCAGAGCATCGCTGATTAAGACGTAATTCTCGATTTGAACTGTGACGATTAGTCGATTAATAAATGAAAAATATACTTAAAGTCTTTTTTTTTCCAGATTGGAGGATCATTGTGATATCTATTTGTTGATAAGAATCATTAATTCAAATTTGACTCTTTTCTTTATCAATTTTAATTGGAAGTAAATGTTTTAACTGTATAAATATCATGTTCTCAAGTTTGATATTTTATCTGCTAATCTGATTTCATTTTGATAAAGTGCAGTTTAATTTATACAAATAAAATCAGCTTCGCAGGAGCCACGTTTGTTTTATTTTGTATGACTTGAACCAGAAGTTTTATTATTTATTCACTTTGTAAAACTTTATTGACAAACTGCTGCAGCATCTTCTTTCATTCTATAGTTTTGTACAGCTCCCCCTGCAGGTCAGGTTTGACATGTGAGCCGCTCATGTTGTTTTACTTTGGTCCGAAACGAATCAGAGTAAAAGACGTTGACGCTGTCGTCGTGACGACCTGTGTCGATCTCGACAGCTCGTTTTCAGTTTGGTTCCCTCCCTGCGGTCTGATGTTTGTCCAGCCGGTGGAGACGTTCCACGAAAAACTGGTTTTGTATTTTCTGATGGATCTGGACGTTTGTAGAGAGTGTGTGTGTCTGTGTGTGTGTCTGTGTGTGTGTGTGTGTACATGTTTGAGGGACAGAAGCCTGAGACGCCTCTCTGAGATTATGTCCAAATGTTTTAATAACTCTTTAAATATGAAATTGATGTTTTCTGTAATATCGGCCGCTGCTTTGTTTTTAAAATACTGTTGCGTTGCTGTTTTTCCAAAGAACAGAATAAAGTAAATAAAGTGCTAAAATATGATTTTGAGAGAATTTTGTCACTAAAAGATTTCAATCATAACGACTGCAGTGACTTCTTCTGTAAGGGCACGCTGGATTAAGTTAATTAAGTGTAATTTCCCATGCTCCTTAGCAGCACAATACAGCAGATTATTTTAGGATTTTAGAGCCGACGGACCGAACAGCTGAGACACTGATGAACGTGTGTGTGTGTGTGTGTGTGTGTATGTGCGTGTTTAAGTAAAAGTGTGTGTTAGCCAGAGGAGCAGCAGCCTCCGGCAGGTGTGGCCTGTGGTTCGTCGTCGACAATCTGTACGCCCCGCCTACTCGAAGCTGATTGGCTGGCTCCGTTGCCCTTCAACCTCTCCTCAGCCTGAGCCGTTTCCATCATCCCTGAAACACACAGGAAATCAAACCGTGAACGCTCCCTTGAAAACATTCTGCTGTTACCAGAGGACGTTATTGTTTCATTGACATCTTGCTTGTTAGCAGGACGTCAAAAAATGTCTTTAACAGATTTCCGTGACATTTTGTGGAGGAGTGAGACGCTCGGAAGAATCTGCACTCTGCAGTCCGTCACCTTAATAGTGTGCGTGTGTGTGTGTGTGTGTGTGTGTGTGTGTGTGTGTGTGTGTTGGGACACAGGTGAACTCTTACTTTTACAAAGGTCCAGGAAAAGCTCCTCGATGCCTTTATTTAACTTTGCTGATGTGTGGTAGTGTTTGGCTCCGACAGACTCGGCATAACTGAAGAGAAACACACAGAAGAACAAGATATTCATTCATAACATCCATCATTTTGCTCATGGAATAAAAACAATACGACAGTAATGTCCAGCACAAAGTGTCTCCAGAGTTCTTCATCGCATTGGACAGAATTTATTTTACTGTCACTACACAGGATTTCTACTTGGTCAGTAAATTCACACCAACAGAGACCAGGAAACGTTGAAATGCTCTTTACAGGTGAAACACGTTATCAATAAAGTTTTTACCTCTCGGCCTCTTCAACTGAAACATGTCTGTCTTTGTCCAAATCAACTTTATTACCTGCAGGGACAAGAAAACATATTATTTCACTGCAACAGCGCCCCCTGCAGCCTCAAGTGGTGATTCACATTTTGTGTACCGTGTTCGAGCGATGGAGTGTTTTTTTCAAGTCTAACAAAACTGAGCAGTAGATATTACCCATGATCCCCTGCTTCCTGAACAAGAAGAGCTGCTGCTGTAACAAATCCACCAAACCCTGTTTAGAAATCTGCTGAATATTGTTTTTAATAACGTCTCAGTGTTTTTAACTGATCTCAGATCAGAGCCTCAAACTTCATCATCTCCAATTTGAACAACAGCCGAATGAAAAAACAACATTTCCACTCAGCTGACTGTGTAACTGCAGCAGGTCCGAACACGTGATGAGCAAACATCACCAACATAATCCAGTTAGAGCGACTCGCAAATGTTCTGTCATGAAGCCGCACACAAAGAAACGGCTTCATGTTTGGCAGCGGGACAGACGAAGACGAGAAGAGACGCAAAGACGAAAAAACATGAAGGACAAACGGGGGACGGACGGAAGCACAGGTGGACCACAGACCGTTAATGATACTGAGACCTAATGAAGCCGTTATCGTCTCTGATTCTCCTGATGTTAGTTAATACAACAATGATTTAACTGTAAGATGTGTGATAACTTACCTACTATACATAAACAAATCTCGTTCCCCAACATTTTCCTCAACTCTTTCACCCAGTTCTTCACCTGCAACGACAACAACAGAGCAACTTTAATTCAACCTGAACTGAAAAAAAAGAGATACTGGAGAGAAAGTGGGAGAGTGAAGGAGGAGCACGACATTTTATACCACTGAAGAAAAAAACTGCAAAACATTCTAAAAGTTGAAAATATTCAAATAATAATGTCACGTTCTGTTGAAATTAATAAAACTTGACAGTTTTCAATGCTCAGTTCAGAAAGATTCTTAAAAAATGTCATAATCTGAACAAGATTCTGTTTTAATTTAACAACTACTTCACTCAACTCAATCTTTATTCACTTCTGTGGACTTATTTAAAAACTTTTTTTTTTTTTTACTTTACTTCCAACCTCCAGTTTTGGGGAACAGCAGAATGAATCCTCCTGTTCAACATCTGACGTGTCCATTATTCTTATTTATATAGAATGAAATATTCATGTTACCTTCTGAAACGAGTCTTCGTCTGTGATGTCGTACACTAGTATGGCTCCATTGGAGTCTCTGTAGTAGATGGGACCTAACGCATGAAATCTCTCCTGACCTGCAGTGTCCTGCAGACAAACACAAGACAAGGTCAACGCTCGTCCAGTGAAGCGTTAATGTCACGGCAGCAGAAAGACGCAGCGTGACTCTCTTACCCATATGGCGAGGTTCACTCTCTTTCCCGTGATGTTGAGCTTCTTTGTGAGGAAGGACGCCTGCGGAGGAAGAGGAGAACGAGAAGAGTCAAAACACGGAGTGTGGTATTAAACTTTCCTGAAGCGAGTTAGGTGCTACATCCGTGCTTTTACTTTTCATCAGTGTTACTATGGTTACTTACAGCATCCACACAACTCAAGTGCCTAAAAGAAGAAACTGTTGACGCTGCCGGTCTGGTTTTAATTTGAAAACTCCGGTTGTGTTTCAGTCCGGACGAACAGAAACTGAGACTTTAGTAAACGACGACAGACAAATTATCAGACATTTTACACCAAATACAGTTTTCATCATGAGGCTGCACCTCACTGTGTCAAGAAAACATGGTCACATGAAAATATTCATGGTGCTGTGACCTTTGACCTCCACAGAAACCTGAGGATTAACATGCTGCAGGACTTATTTTTAATCTCCGTGGAGACAAGTGACATTAACATAACGAATGTGTTTAAAATACTGATCAGCCTGAGAAGAGAGCCAGTGAAACTAAAATAATACAAATCACTGCGTCAGATCATAATAATAATAGTCAGGTTTATTTTGTAACTCTGAGTTTCCAGGCAAACTCTGGGTTCTCTTCCGAGCTGCGTTGAACAAAAGGTCAAAGTCCGTCTGAGGAAAAGATTTATTCATTTGTTCCTCCCTGCAGATTTAGTTTTGACTTGTTGGACGTTCTCAGGGAGAAAAGTCAAAAATCAACAACAACAGAAAGGATCCAACGACTCAAAGACTAAAGAGAACCAGAGAAGTGAGGCTGAGAGCAGTGATGTCACAGTGTGTGGTTACCCATCAGTCAGTTTATGTGTAAGACAAGAATAACGGCTGATTGATCAATATCTGAATTTTTATTCTCTAAAATTTATATCAAAAGTCCAGTTTCTGTCGAGCTGTGGAAACAGCAGATTCAGACCCGGTGAAACTCTCTGACAGTGAAGGAGAATAAATCAGAGAGTTTCCAGTGTGACGAGTCTCATGACAAACACTGACGGCTGAATAATGCGGAGCTCGTGCTGGGAGACTGTAGCTCGCTCGCTCATGAATGGAAATCATGGGCTTCTGAGGTTTGTCCAACATTTCCTGATTTTCCTAATTCACGGATCACAGGCAGGAGTAAAGAAATCAACTTGTCCCCTTGGGTAAAAATAATCCAACACTAAATCAACCCATAACTTTACGTAACAGCTGATCATCGGCCTGCAGCGTCGTCCAACAAGCTGCTGTGACCACATCAAACTGAGCAGGTCACATGTGAGTGAGTGTAAAGTGAACTGAGCCCTGCAGCTACAGAGCCGAGGAGCATTCAGCACCATGTGACTGGGACACAACGCGGTGAAGGAGCCTCCGGGACCTGGAGGGTCCGACACGTTACTCCCTGCTACTCCTGGTTCTTACTAATCCTAAGGAGACCATGAATGAAACTCTTATTGTCGTGCAATTCAAATGTGGATTCTCCCGCACCGACTCTATTGAGGAGGAAAACCGCTGCAGCTCAACGTCTGACACCAACGTCGAAATGAGTCTGTCACAGACAAGTCAACATCTAATAATAAGAATGATTATTCAGTAGGATGATAGATATTTGAGGCCGATATTTAAAAATGTATATGTATAATATAAACAATGCTTTTTAAATTGTCCCTTGATTTAACTTGTGTTTCTAACCAAGTTATGTATAAGGCAAAAGAATTGAAATTGAAAAAGTTTGCATGTGAGTCTGTAACTACTCTGAGAATTTGTACGTTCCCATTCGTGGAGTTTCCTCTTTTCTGTGTTTATTATTCTCGTTTATATTGAGGTCACTTTTGTTTTAAAATCAAAACATGTCAGAGTGAAGTCGTCCGACTGTTGTTGTGTTTACATGCACTGCAGTAGAGTTACAGTCGTTCTCACACGCTCAGAATTTTTAACCTAATGTGATTGAGAATGTGTGACAAGAAAATAAGAGAAATATGCATCTGACATATTAAGACTTCAATTCCATTCAAAATGAAACTTGAGGTGAGGTCGTGTTTACAGAACGAGGTCAGTATCAGAGGAGAAATCTGATTCCTGACCTGATTTACAGTCACCAGGTTTTTATAGTGCACGTCAACATGTCCCTCATACACCTGCCTGGTTCCTCTGGTGACTGACCTGCAGCTAAACTCAGTTAAAGGACAACACAATGTATTTCCTATGTGAAGAAACTTTACCCTCAAACCAGGCCGAACATAAACTGCCACAGATTTTCTCTGAAGTTTGGCTTTGACACAAGAAGCTGCGAGTACACAAGAGCTGAGTCTGTGGCGCAACTCAAAAACTTCCGAGAGGTTCAAACACAACAACGTCTTACGCAACAGCAACCGACGGAAGCTTGGAGTCTTTCTATCTCTCTGCCCGAGCTGCTCCGGTTCACAGGCGGCGGCTGTAAGTCATTATTGATCCGTCACTGGCGGCTGCGACGGAAACGCTGCATCACTCTTCCTGGTTTTCCACATTTTTCTTTTTCTGCTGAGATCATCGTGTGACCTCAGCGCCGCAGATAAACAACCCGAACCAGAGGCAGGATGGTGGAGAGGCTGAGCGACGCAAAACAAACCGCGTTTTATCAGCTTGACGGCCGGAACCACAATGATATGGTTGAATATATAAACTCATATATCAACAGTTTTCCATCTGCACTGAACAGCTCTGTACTTTTCCCTTTGACAGCAACGTGAATGTCACGTCAATGTGGAATAAATCTTTATTAGAAAAACGTGGATTATTTATTCAACACTTTTACTTTTTGTATCTGAAGATTTGTTGACATAAAATATGGATTTAAGTACGCGCTTTCTTTTTACTACTAATTATCGTGTCCAACAATTTAAAGTTTCAGTTTCTAATTACACCCAGAAATATATTCCGTTTTTTTTAAATTGTATTATTCAGATGAAGCAGCAAATCTTCACATTCAAGAATCTGAATCACAAAATATTCAGTGTTTTTGTGAAATGAAGTCAACGGAGGAGAATTTAAATTTACCACCTCCACAAACCAGGTGAGTTCCAGGACACAAGGTCACAATGTCCCCTTCGGTTCCCGAGTTACATTATGATGTCACGGTGACGTTTGGGATAAAAACAAGTTTTCTTGGCAGCGGCGTGACCTTGACTTTGACCTTTAAGCTCAGATCATCCTCGAATCTCTGAGTGGAAGTTTGTGCCAAATGTGATGAAACTGTCTCGAGGCGTCAAATCTACTGAGGACAGAAACATGTCATCACCTGCACTGAAGCAAGAAAACATGAGTGAGGTAAAAGAGAAAGATCACATCTGAGTGAGAGAGAGAAACGAAACTGAACTTTAAATTTGAATGTATTCAAATTGAGTGTAACTGGTTTTTATCAGTGACGTGTGCGAACGTGGACGAGTGAAAGTTGTTTAAAATCCATCTGAAGATCCTGAGAGTCAGTGTGTGGGTGTGGAGCCTGTAATCACTCAACACCACTTCAGTTAGGTTGATATTCTTATTATTACTTTTACTGTGAATCATCAAATACTAATAATATTTCAACTAAATGTTGTGAATTTTAAAAATAGGTATCAAATGTAAATCGTTTTAAATCATCAACATATAAAAACGCGTCATACTGTAATTTATATTGGAACCATCCAAACTCAGAGTGCTTGAATACTTTTACTTGACATTGAGTTTTAGTCCTTTGATTTAAAGACACGAGCGCTGCTTCCGGCAGTGGACGCTCGTTCTTCCCCTCAGTCAGTCACGATCATCGACCCTAGCCGGGCGGCTGCGGTGTCTCCCGCATCCCCGCTCCCACGGTGCGACCCGGGCTACGAAACAAACACCCGAAAACAAGTGACAGCGACGCAAACGCCTCCACCCAAACACCACTAACACCGCTGACACCACTAACACCGCTAACACCACCCGCCGTGCTCTGACTTTCAACAAAACAAACCCCTGGACGTGAGCGGGGTTAGCCTCGGAGCTAACAGCTAGCCCGGGTCTCACCTGTAGAGTTGTGATGTGTTTGTCGTTGAACTTGTTCTCGCAGTACCGCAGCACCAGCGACGTCTTCCCCACGCAGCCTTCCCCCAGCAGCACCACCTTGAAGGAGTAGGTCTTGCCGCCCGCCCCTCCGGCCGCCATGGCTGGAAGTGTAATTCGCGCTAATGTGTTGTCGCCGTGAATCAAAACAAGCGGCGTCGAGCTAACGCTGCTAACGTTAGCCTCCGTCGGGGTGAAGTCCTGCGCAGCTCACATCAGCTTCCGACTTCTCCCGAAACCGACAGAAGCCCGGAGAAGAGCGCGTCGACAGCTTCGGAGAACCGGGCCCCGGTGTTTATCGGGCAGCAGACGCGAGAGGACCGAGTCCTCACTCCGGATTTATTCCGCTTTTCGAGCTACTGCGAGCGGCTGCTTCTCACCCAGCTAATGGCGTCTGTGGAAGCTAGCTGTTAGCCGGCTAGCCCCCCGAAGATCGTCTACGTTCGAAGATATGAGTCACTCGGTTATTTGAAGAGCAGACATCCCACTCCCTGTTCACCCTGTGTTTGTGTTGTATTCATTAAATAAGAATATTTAGAAACAC